ACCTTTGGCCACACAAGCCCTGGCCTCACCTCCAAGGCCAGTCAGAACCCCTGGCTCTGAGCATTCCTCGCGGTGGGCCCCTGGCCTTTTTGACCCTTCTGGTCCTGGTCCCAGCATTGACCATTTGAGGGTGCCTCAAGTCAGGCTTCTGAGCAACTAACCCACACTCCCTTACATGGGTCCACCTTCTCGGGCCCTACTAAAGGGTTACTGACGCGGTTGTGGGAGCTGGGGTTACTAAGGTGCCCCAACCCACCTTTCACCAGGGTGGTAATGGGCCTGGCATTTCCTGGGGGCTCTCATCCCACCAGGAGCCCCACCAAGCCACCCGTCCCCGGCAGGGTGCAGTTTTAAGTCATGCCCAGGACTAAGAGCCGCCTCCATCCCCATAGCCCCAGCCAATAAACCTCCAAGCTGTTCCTGAGCCTCAGCTCTGCCAGCTGATGCATCTCTCAGGACTGCCAGCAGCAAACTTCTGCTACACCCTATATCTATCCTGGGTTTCAAAATGGCTGCCATTCTCAAGCCCTTAAAGGGGCAGGCACCAACAAAGCCCTGCCACACATCTAAATATTAAAAAAGTAGTTGTAATTATTTACATGGAATCTTAAGATTTAATCTACGTAACTCCTTGATCTAATATTTTAATTGAACTTCTCACTTAAAACTAACTTTTTTGAAGAACCAAAAAGAAGACAGTGATGATTTTAGCCTTTCAGTCATTGTACTGTACTGTGCTTTTTTGTTTAAGCAGTTGTTTTATTCATTCTTATGTAACAGGTTTACAAAATACTGGTAAAGAGAAGTTCAGAGGAAAGTTGGGTGGTTTTCAGAAGATACACCGACTTCTCCAGACTTAATGACAAGGTGAGTATTAAGACTTTTTAAGTTCTGACTTGTCATTATGTTAATAACTGGAAATCACGGGGAACTATAACTTCTGTAAAGAATTGCCACTTAAATGTTTTCCCAAAAACTATTGTTTGTTTGGTTAAGTGGAAGTTAAGTGTTTTATAATGTATTAATATACTACATGCATCGAAATAGAGTAAAAGCCCTGTTTTCTGGCATGAGTGAGGAAGTGGGGGGCAGTAATCTAAAAATGCTGGCTACCTGAGGCACAGGGGTTTCCAGCCGGATGCAGAGTTGTGGGGGGTGGGATTGGTGGGAACTGCTTGCGGAGTGGGGGGCAGGGCGGGGGGCAGCAGCTGCACACACAGGAGCAGCAGCACAGGATAGTTTCCGTCTGTCCCCTGTCCCTCTCCTTGCCTCTCCAGCTTCCAGCCGGTTGGCCGGAAATTCCAGTTAATGGAAATGCCAGTTAGTAAAATGCTGGATAACAGGGCGTTTACCATAGATAGAAAATTTAACTCTGCCTTTATGCAGAAGTAGGGCAATACCACTAGGTACTCTTGCAAGAAAAGATGCTCATAATGGTTAAGTCTCTCCTGTTGTGATAGTGTCTACCATGCCTGATGAGACAGGTTGTGATTTGAAGCTACTGGTGAAGCAAGCGTTTTATGTGAGCAGCTGTATTTCAGGAAATACTTAGTCTTCTGCTAAGATGAAGTATTAAATTAATGTATTCTGGAAGTATTGATTTGGATTATGAGAAACTGATAAAGAACAATTGCCAGACTCGGAAAGAGCACATATAGGCCAATAATTTGGAATTTTGTAAAACTGTAAACTTTTAGTGTCATTCAGCAGAAGCACTGAAGTGTTGATATTTGTAAACATTTTTTGCCTATTCCGGTAGTCTAAAAGCAGCTTGCACATTTTCATTCTCATTTTTAAAGAATATTTGCTTTTACAGTTGTCTCTCACTGTTGGGCATTTTTCATCTCTGTTAACTTCTTTTCATTTGGTTTGTTCTGTGTGTTCCTTTTTTCCTTGGATCTACTAAGCTCTGACAATCTGTTAGAAAACCTGAGTGCAATAATCATGGTCTTGTTTGTTTTGAATTTTCAAGTAAGGATTGTATATAGCACACATGCCTATGTTTTCTTCTTGGGTCCTGGTACCTGTTACTGGTCATCCTCTAAACCAGGGGTTAGCAACCTGCGGCCAATGTAGAGACTTGATCAGGTCCAGGAAGGTCTGGACTTGGCACAGAGTATTGGGTAGCACACAGCTGTACTGAGATGCTTGTCCTGTCCACCGAATCTTCTCTGCAGCCCTCCCAGCTGCTGTCTTGTGCCTGCACTTGTCCTCACTGCAGAGGGCCAGGTATCTGCAGTGAGGGTAAGCAGAGGCAGGTTAAACTCTCCAAGAGAGCAGAGATTTGTGGCCTGCATAAGGGAGCCAGGTTACAAGTTCATGCCCACAGTGACAAGAAGTTGCCAACTCCAGCTCTAAACTACCTATAAAATCCACAAAGGCCCAAAGATTTAATTCTCTTTCAAATACAAGACTAATTAATGTGATTTAATTTTTTTAAGATTTTGTGGACAAACTTCAGAGCATTAACAAGAATCTAAGCATTGCTTTAGGAGTAGCTAAGCCCCCCGAAATGTGACAAAGTATAATATGGGCTTTTCTGAGAGAGATTTGTATAAAGGTAATTTGATATTATTTTTTGACAAGGTAATAGATATTTATTGGATAAAAACAATGCAGTAGACTTAATGTATGTAGATTTAAGCAAAACATTTGGCATTGTGCCTCCTAGGAACTTGGCTCAATTTGACAGGATGAGGTTCAAGGCAACATTTGTGAGATGGATAAAGGATTGCCTTAAAGGGAGCTTAGAGTGGATTATGTTGAAAGTTGGGTTATCTGACTGGAGGTTGGTTGCCAGTAGTGTGCCTCAGGGATTGGTTGTAGGACCTGTTTGGTTTTAACAATTTTATTGGCAAGTCTGATACTGATATTAGCTGTGCCCTTGTGAAATCTGTGGGCAGCACTAAGATGAGGAATGTTGCCAACACAGAAGACAACTGAATATTTAAATATTCTTGTGGAATGGAACATTAGAAATAGAATTAAGTTGAACTGTATAGAGTGTAATATTGTGCACTCAGGCACCGATAACAAGGATTGGGAAAGGACTGAAAAACAGCTTCTAAGATAGCCAAGAGAAAGAGACCTTTCTTTATAAAAGAACTGAAGGAGCTTGGTTTGTTTAATTTAACAGAATAGAAATTGAGAGAGGCTTTTTACAAGTACATTCATAGAATAAATATTTGGGAGGAAGAAGAGGTTCTTGGGTTGGACAAACAAAGAAGCAAAAGCCAACCCCGGCACAAGATAAAATGGTTACAAATACCAACACATACATTTTAAATTGATTGGTTTCTAATTTCTAAACTCCAGAATAGTAAAACTTTGGAATGGTTTTTTGAGCCAAGTAGCAGGGGCAAAAAACTTTGAATTGCTTTAAGATTGGACAAGGTAAGTTCAGTAGTTGATCCAGGAATGGGAAAAAGGAGAGAGAATGCAGGTTCCCACTCTAGCTGTTTGCACCTGTGAAATGAGCTCTTAGCTTACTGCCTGATGAAGCTCCTCATGAGCCCTGAGCTCACTAGCTGATAGGGGCAGGGTCTGGCCAGAACCCCTGCTTTTGTGCAGTATCAGAGCCCAGGAAAGAATACTGCCAGTGTTCACCTTGCCTCTCTTTCCCCTCACTCGCCTCTGCACCCCCCAATCCCAATTCCCCACTGAATTTAGGATCAGCAGAAAGTAGAGGACAACTGTAGTGCTCACCCCTGGGCTCCAGGGTCACGTGAAAGCAGGAATACTGGGCAAACCTTGCACTGAGAGCTCACCTGAGGCAAAGCCAAAAAGGGGTACAGTTGTACTGCCCCCTCCCCCCCAAAAAAGTTTCTGAAAGGTATGGTGTGATAATGTTGGGGATTCTGGCTTAGTGTGTGTTGTGTTGAATTATATATTTACACCCTCATGTTGAGGCATAGAGACAAGTTTTGCAGTTTGATTGATTGTGTGTTTCAGGGCTTTTGCTGGTAGTCTGTAGGGGCCAAGAAAGATTTTTTTTCGCCTTTTTCCTTAAATGTTACAGGCTTCTGCAGTTGAAGGGATGAATGTACACCTTCTGAAGCAGGGGGACTGAAGACCTGGGAGAGCTGGGTCTTGGCTGGGGCATGCTGTTACTCACACTGGTACTTAAAAGACTCTAAAGCCGGATCCAGACATACAGGCACATGTGTTTCTCTGGGGACAAACAGCAGCAGCACAACATGTGCTACTGTTGCTAGTCTCCAGGGAACACCTATGCACATGCATTGTGGCACATTGCCCAGGTGGGATAGAGGAGGCTGGGGCCAGCACCTGAGCTGACCCCAGCAGCCTTACCTGGGTATCTCCCAGGGCTCCATTAGTGGTGATCTGGCAGCAGGGAGCCTGGCCGGCACCTGGAGGAGGGCTCTAGGCGGCCAGGCTCCAGTTCCATATGTGCGGCCCTATTTTTTTTCCACCATGGGGGTGGGTGGGGTTTATATACTGGGATCTCCCAATGTCAATGCCCTCCCTCTCCAATGCTGCAAATTAGCAGCACAGGAGAATGCCTGCTTGTGTGTGGCACCTCATACCACACATGCACACTCATTTGGATGTGCCCTAAGAGTCCTGGCTTGTGGCACTTCCTCTTCTTCCCAGGATCAGACCAATCCCCAAATTTGTGGTTGCAGACAAATTTGTCTTCTATGTTAGCCATGTCAGGGAATGAGCCAAGAACTGGCAAGCATGATATAGAATTCTGCCTCATTTTCTCCTCTTGGCATGATGCTTCTGTTTCTCCTGAATCTTGGTCCCTACAGAGAAGGCTGCAGGAACTTTTGAGGAACATTATTAAATGAGGTAGCAGGGAGGACAAGTGGTTGAGGAGGGGGCAGAGGCCTCCAACTACTTCCCTCATTGCTAAAAGAATCCTTCTGAAGTTTCAAGATCAGAGTAGTAGCTGCTTAGTTCATTTTTTTCATGGCACTTGGGTATCAAGATTTACAAGAATCAGAGGTGATAAATTGATCTCTCTCTATTCAGTATGTATTAATGCTGGTTCTGGTCTGGGCAATGGTGAGTTAAAAGTCTGTATGTGTTTCAGGGGCTAAAAGGACATAAAACACCCAAAACTTGCTTGATTTGTGGTCTCTGTTTATGGCCAAACCCAAAAATAAGCTTATGTGCACCTATGCTGGGTTTTCCAATATATTTCTTAATGGTACAATATAATTTTAGCAGGGGAAATAAAGCAGCGCTCTTTAACTTCCTCCTTGGGATTTGAGAGAGATTTCTCATTTCTTGACATTTTAAAATGAAGGCTTCTTTTAAAAAAGAAGCTATTTAAAATGGGATTATTAATTTCTGGCTAGTCAATTTGACATTGATATTGAGCAATATACTGAAACAAATTTTATCTTTTGATCATTTTTAAGTACTTGGAGGAAATGGTGGCAGTAGTAAGAAACAACCAGCATGGATTTGTCAAGAACAAACCAATCTAACTTAATTCTTTGACAGTAGATTTGATGCATCTAGACCATTGGTTTTCAGCTGGATCTCTTGATCAGTTTGGAGTGTACCCCCGACAACCTCTGTTTCCCATACACCATGTACACCTTGGATGATACCAGCTTTTGGCTTTCACTCTTTTTTTTTTTCTTCTTCTTTTTTTTTTAACTACAGAATAATAACAGCAATTCTTCTGTTGCAAAGAACTCAGAAAGACCCCAACAGGTCAGAATGTTTTTTAACACTAGTTTTCCTATGCGTAACCTCTGGGTTTATCTTGTAAATCATGTTTGTATGCCTTACAGTGCTTACGCTGCATAGCACCCTTCAGCACTTCTGCAAGAATCTCATTGTTTCATAGTTGGCAGGGTCGGAAGGGACCTGAGCAGATCATCAAGTCCGACCGGGCAGGAAAGAATGCTGGGGTCAAATTACCCCAGCTAGTGATTATCTACCCTCCTTTTGAAGACCCCCAGGGAAGAAGCGAGCACCCTTTCCCTTAGAAGTTGGTTCGAGATCCTAGCCGACCTGACTGTGAAGTAGTACTTCCTGATGTCTAGCCTGAACCTACTCTCAGTCAACTTGTGGCCATTATTCCTAGTTATCTCAAGGCACCCTGAGGTTAAGTATCACTGATATAAGGATCACCAGCACCCAGGTTAAGGCTTTTGACACTGTTCCCCATGATCTTTTTAAACAACCTAGGGAAGCGGGTGGCAGTGTAAGGCAGTGGTATGCCCCGGGGGCTGGATCTAGCCCCAGTGATGGGTTAGTTCAGCGACAGAAGGAGGAGTCTGTGGTCTTCTGCAGTAGCCTAATCACGTGCATGTTGGCAGCAATTTGGTGTTGGGGTGGGAAGTGGCTGGGACTGGGTCAGAAGTGCCAACCTGCCTTAGATGAGTTGCATTACTTAAGCATTTTGCTCCAAAAAGATATGGGACCCCTGACCTGTAGAAATGTGTAGCTGGAACTGTCATAAGGAAAGTAGGCAGGTAGTTGAAATCTCAAATTCAAAATAGCTTGCTTTCCAAGTTGGACAGCAAATTAAAGGAACCCTTCCAGGGTCTCTAGTCAGTATTTGTATTGAAAAATTAGAGGATTAAATATGAAGAATATTTCTATAATATGCAGATGCCACTTCAATGAAAATATTTGGAAGTAGTTCTGAGGTTATGATTAAAATTCAAAATGATCTTGAGAAATTGGAAGATGATCCAAAATGAGCAAGATGAGAAGTGGAGATGTGTAGCACCTAGTTTTCTTATTTAGTTTTCCTTCCTAAACAAATGCACAAGTTTAGAAGTGGGAATAACAGACGAGGCAGAAATGTGGGTGATAAAGATGTAGTGATTATAATAGACTGCAAACTGAATATGACTCAGTGTGGTGCTGTTGCAAATATGGTAAATGTCATTCTGGCATATATTAACAGGAGTGGCATGTGTGTGGGTGAGGCCTCAGCTGTATTACTGTGTACAGTCTTGGGCACCATGCTTTAAGGAAAGTGTAGATAATATGGAGAGAAACTGAGGAGACAAACAAGAATTATAAGAGGGTTAGAAAACTTGGCCTGTGAAGAAAGAGTGAAGACAATTTTGTTTAGTCTGAAAAAGAGGGCTTGATCGTGTAGTAATGGGGAGACTAATCCAATATGTATAGAAGGCAGCTGTAAAGAGATCCATTATCAGTTTTTCTCTATACCCACAAGGGAAGGACAAGAAGTGGGGAGGCAGATGGCAATTGTACTCAGCTCTTGGGCTTGAGAGCTGCATGAAAGCTCTGAGTTCACTGGTATGTCAGCATAGGTGCATGCTGCTGTTGCTCTTTCTGGACAGCAGTCTACTCTGAATATGACCTTTGCCCTGTCACCAAATTCAGTGGCAGGGGAAAGGTGGGGATGAGCAGTAGGATTATTTGTCTTGTAAACATGTTAACAACAGGTTGTGCACCCTGGCTTTGTGGGGGGGAGGGGCGGGGAGTGTCTGACTCCAAGGGTGGAGACTGAGGTTGAGAACCATTGGTCCAGATCAGGAGTGTCAGAGTCATCTGACCCCATGGGCCAAATGAGTTGCACAGGATGGGTTCACAGTCTGGCTGAGTGGCACAGAGCCAGCCCCATGAGCCAGATTGGGTCCATGGACCTTCCTGCCCTTTCCACCCCCTCATACTGGATCCAGTGCCTGCTCTAGTTGGTCTGGGACATGGGCCACATGGTGCTGTGTGTAGCACAGGCCCCAGACCGGTAGGAACAGGTGCTGGATCCAGCATGTAGGGACCCCCATGACACCTCCCTCCCCCTATATCCTTGATTGTGTCCACTCTAGCTGGTCTGAGACTGTTGCACCTGGAGCCCATTCCAAGAACTGTTGTATACAGCACACAACCGGGACAGGCTGACATGTCCAGGCCCATGGCCTGGACTGACTAAAGCAGGTGGCACAGTCCCAGGACAGGTGCTATGGTTGCTGGATCCAGCATGAAAGGGGGTTCCCATACTTGCCCCTCACGGGTCCCTGTGTGGTCCATGTTCCAGGCCGTGTGTGGCACATGTGCCAGGCAGGGACCGGATGATACAGCTTCGTGACCCGAATCTGGCTTGCAGGCCATATCTTTGACACCTCTGATCTAGATAAGCTTTTGTAGCATGGGAAAGGCCTTCATTTCTATGAATAGGAAACAGTCCTGAAAAATTAAGAGGGAGGTCAGTCTCTATATCCTAGCAGTTTCAACATGTCCTTTCCCTGGGAGAAGCGGAGCCCTGGGTTCTTGTTTCTACTGTATATGCATTTTTGCATTAGATGGTCATTGTTTTGGGAGGGGGTGTTGTTGTTTGTTGTGTGACTTCTTTTTACTTGAATGCTTTACACGTTTTCCCAGAAAACAAAGCAAAGTCAAAGTGTTTCTGAAATTTCAGAGACTTTCATTGCAATGTAAATATGCCAATACATGACTAATTATCACCGAGATGTGTTGTAATTACTAATTAGCACTGGGATGTGTTGTATCTGTACATTTTGAAATGTTAATGCTCTTCAGTCTTTACTGGGCGGTGTCTGTGTCTGTGTGTTAGAACACTTTCTGATTACTTTTTTATTCTCCTGGGCTCATAATGGGTTTTTATATATTTTATTTATATAGCTCCTTGCATCCCAAAGTGCCTTACTTGCTGTGAATACCAGTGAATCGTTTGTCACTGTAATACTTATCATGGTGCATAATAAAGTACTGTGTGACTGCTATAAAGGCATAAAACATCAAAGCACACTATTTATTTCCATTTTTCAGGTGGGAAAACTGAGGGGCCAATTAACTGCCCAAACTATCAGTAGAGCTGTAAGTTAGAAATTAACTGTATGATTTGGAGTGGTTATTTCATGAATGGTAAATATTCATGACTCAAGTTAATGAGAGCAGAAAGGAGAGAGATGTTTTTATTTAATGCCTTATCTAATTAATTATTTTCATGGATACTTTAATATTCTTCCATCATCCTTGGTTTCTATTTCAGTTGAAAGATATGTTCCCAGGTTTTCGATTGGCACTTCCGCCAAAGCGCTGGTTCAAGGATAATTACAACCCTGACTTCCTGGAAGATCGACAGTTGGGATTGCAAGCATTCCTGCAGAATTTAGTAGCTCACAAAGACATTGCAAATTGGTATGTGACTAATTTTGTTTTCAGTATACTTAGACTGCTGGTATAGGCCTTAAGGCTGTAACAGAATAGCTCATCTATGAGCAATATGGTACTGAATTCTGTTGTTAATATGATGGCTTGATCACTGCAGTCAGCCATCATGTAACTGTTGCAGCTTCTTTTCATGTAGTAATTATGTGATGCTCTGTTTCAACTTAAAGAAGAAAATAAGATTTTCCCATTTTAGATGATGAATGATGAACTGTGTATTTTTAACTCAAAATACAAATGTAAGACTAACTGCAAAGCATGTTTACTCCCAAAGGATTACCTTTTTGCTGAATACATAATTAACATATGGCTTTGAATACACATGTACTACACTGCAGTCACTCCCTACACTGACTTTTCTTAAATCAAAATAGTTATGCAAGTATAACAGTGTATATTTCCTCTTCTAGTAGAGGAATATCTATACCAGTATATAGTCATGTTAGGACCATAGTATTGAGCAGCACAACTTCCTAGTGAAGATGAACCCATGTTTGGTTGTCATGCATTTCCAGACATTCAAAATTTTCCAGTTTTTACAATGATAAGCACAGATCTAATGGGTCTGTCATGACTTCAGAGACAGGTGCTTTACACTTTACCAACTCTATTTCCTTGAGCTTCATACTATTACAGCTAGACTGTAACACTGTCTGAGCTACTCATGTTAACACTAATTGAAGTAGAGCTGTGCTGCACTGCCATCTTCAATGTAAATTATCATCACCGTGCATCAATGGCTGGTATAAGTAAGAACCCTATAAATTAGTACAGGTATCTAGGCATAATTGTAGTAATTCTGTTTTTATTGTTTATGTAATATTAAGAGGTGAATTTGAAAATAACCTTGTTCCTTTGTATTATCCCTGTTTCAGTTAAATGTGAGCTTTCACTAAAAGCAGAGTGAGGTGCTTTCATTTTAGTGTGTTTTGAAAATAGAGTATAGAAAATCTTGCCTGTGCATTCTGAGTTGAAGTCAGCCTTAGTATTCTTTTTAATAGGCTTATCTTCTGGAAAGATAAGATAAGCTTTATTGTCAAACACATAATACTGGCACTTATTCCTGGGACTCCAGTCTCAAAATTTAATGAAATATTTAAGCTTGCTTCCATCTGAATCTAAATCTTTACTTGCTCTTTGGAAACTAAAAGTTATCATGTAATAGTTCTTTGGCCCCTATATGAGTAATCTCTAGATCTATTTGTTTTCTCATCACAAATTGGTTACCAGGCTTTGGACTGCCTTGTGAAGAGGCCAAGAATTGTATGCATCATAGACTGAATTACCTTTGTTCATCCTAAAGGAAGTCTCTCCTCTTTCTTTCCCTTTGAGACATGCTAGTGGAGCAGAGTGTGTGGGAAGCTGGGACTGTAAATAAAGGGCTTCATTTACTAGGGCTATCAGGTGGTGCCTCTTGCTAGCACTAAATTAATCCAATAGTTGAAAGCCGAATTTGTGGTAGTGTCTAAATTAGCACTAAACATTGTCTCAGGGAACAGGTCTAATCACTGCATTTGGGATTCAGAGGAAGATCAGATTGAGATCCACCTACTAGGCTTAAGAGGCTCACACAAAGCCCAAGAATGAGGGGGAGGGACAAAGAAGTATAACCTGTACAGCAGGAGCTGAAACTGCCTTGAAAAGCAGCATCAGCTGTCTTCTGCTTCCACCTAATCCTAAAGAGAGCCACTTGTATGTTTAATTTTGTAGGATAGTATTAATCTGTGTACTTGCTTTTCATCTTCCTTTCCTGACCATGAGATGTGATAGAGTAGCACCCTCTTGCACTTGGCATTGTTTCCTCTTTCTATCTAGGCAGGCCAGAGAATTAGGGCATGGGGTGAGCAGGTAGGATACCGTGCTCAGTAACACGTTTCAGGGCATAACAAAATGGGAAGGCCTTGCAGAGAGGGATTAAGTTGGTAGGGGAATCTTCTTTTACTACTTATGACATTAAAAAAGGGGATTAAAGAAATACAGTTTTTCTCCAGTAGCTCCTTCCTCACAGTTCCTATCGCAAAAAAAAAAAATTGTAATATATGTTTTTAGCACAGTGAAACACCTATGTAATATGCTTTGGTGCATTCCTGATGGGATTAAATTACAATAATTAGTAGTCATAACTTTAATTCCTTCTCATGCCTCTATGCAAAGATCATCTATAGCAGGGGTGTCAAACTCAATGCCATGGTGGCCCCCCCAGTCTCAGGAAGCACCAGTCATTCATGCCCTGAAGGGTGGGGTAGGTGAATTGGAGCCCCACCCCCCCACCTCTGGAGTCTCCAGTACACCTGCCCCACCCTCCAGCAGGGGCTAAAAAAACCTCAAACCAAACTCCCTCCACACTCTTTCCCTATACCCATTCTGAAAACAGCTGGAGGATGGCAGGCCTTGCAGACAGAAGTTGCAGAAGGCGCTCTTTTTGAAACATCTTGATCCGACACCACATGCAATGAGGGTTCAGATTTTTCACCCAATAGGCCATTTTTGAAGCTGTCTGCCGCCATGCACTTGTGTTCAGTCATGGCTATAGACTGCTTTCTTTGGCCAGATTGGATGAAAATGGTCACTTCTGTCTGCACCCTTTATGACTTGAGCTGGATTTGGATTTTGGGATACCTTGCAGGTTGGATCCTGCCTGGAGTATGAGAAAGAAGTAGCAGCAACAGCTCTTACCCAGAGAATATGGTGGCAGCAGCTCTTGCTCTCACCCAGGGCACATGGTAGCAGCTTCTGCTCCTGCCCTGTGCCCCATGCCAAAGCTGGAGCTGCTGCTCTCACGTGCCCATGCCATGGTAGCAACTCCAGCTGCAGCATAAGTCACACTCTAGGGACCAGCAGCTGGGGAGTTACAGCCACCGCAGTGGGGACAAATAAAGCGTCCAGCAGATGACCAGGGTTGTATCACCCCTTGCTTGCCCTCCTGCTGCTAATCACTGTGTATACGGAGGTCCAGGGACCCCGGATTCTGTGGTAGGCCATGTTCTCTAACTTCCAGTGGCCTGCTGATAGCCTGGCAGGCTAGATATACACCCTGTGGGCTGGATCTAGTCCAGGGAGCTGCTGTTTGACACCCCTGGTATGTAGCTTTAAAATTCAATATAATTTCCCTTAAGTAGGTAGCAAATCATAGGGTTTCTCAAACTGCTTCAGAGAGAGCAAAAGGCAGTACTTTGATAGGCCCTATTCCAAGGAGAAAAAATTATATAGCAGATTCAGTACTGACATGTAATTTTTATGCTTTTCGTTATCCCATTTCTGTATTTGTCACATTATTTTAATCCCACCTTTGCTGGTATAATAGAATTACTAACAAAATCATCTTGTAACTAGATACTTTTTGAAATACATTTGAGTTGAACTGCATGAAATCAAGGGTAAAGATACTGGAGAACAGAGCTATGAGCAGCAATACCTTCATGTAATAAATTCTTCTGAGAGAGCTGAATGCACTCTCATTCAACAAATCTTAAATCTTATAAAAAAAACAATTCAGCCATAAAGATGGAGTGTAGCTTCATGCCATAAAAGGACAGTGTTCAAATGGTCAGACTAATCAAATTGACAACATTCTGTAATATATTTCCACAAAGTCCCCAACCTGTTATGGTTGTGTAAGAGTGTGAAATTTTAGAATGAGTTTATTCCTATTAATCATTATTTGGCTAATCCAGATAATAATTTTGGATTAAGAGTTATGTGAATTTAAGTGATGATGATAAAGAATTTTGTATTTGTAACTGACGATATTAATCTTTTTAAATTCTTTTTTCAAGAGACACACAAAAAATAAACAATAAGCATAATAATTATTGCTCATGCATTAAGGTAAAGAAATACGTAACATTTCTAGGCTTGTTCTTGGCACAGAAAGGACATGGCACAGAATTTTAAGACCAAAGTATTGACAGCAAAAGTTACCCATGTAATACATTTTTAATAATGATGCAGTGCATCTCTCTTATAGTTTCATAGTTTCTAGGGTCGGAAGGGACCTGAGTAGATCTAGTCCGACCCCCTGCC